AGGCAGCATGCTACAAACTGCTAGTGCTCTGGTGCAATGTTGCCCTGGCATTTGTATTTCTAACTTACTTTAGCGCAATGCTGTCAACTGCAGTGCTGCTAAACTTACATCTCATTATCAATCAGTGCCGTTAATTAGCTCTGGGATTATGGTTTAATTACTTTCTTCGTTTTAAGTTTGGCTTTATGGGATCAAACTAATGAATGACTTCATGACTTCATCCAGCAGTGGGTGAACTTATGCCCTTGTATAATTTGTTTTTGATTAAGTTAGTGTTAGGCAGAGATGTCCCTAAGTGTTGATCTAACGCTTTATCTGGAGAATCATGTTTGCTCACTTTTTCTGTCCTGTTGGTTGACGCCACCAGCTTCTGCCAATCACTTTAAAGCATGTGATCTACTCAGTCCAAAAAGTGGATTGATGAATTGACTAGGGTCAATTCATCAATTGGTCAATTGGTGAAGAAGTAGGGGCAAAGTAGGGGGGAAAAGAATGGATGCTAGGTACTTTATACTGACAAGGTGATGCCAACTGAAAGATGGAATGTTGCTCAAGGTCTGGTTAAAACTGACTTGTTGTGATGCAGTGGGTTCAAGGTAAGAGGGTGTCGACTGAGGTCAACAAATGTGGTCAGCTGTTAGTGGTTTAACAAATTGGTCCTTTTAGTGGTTTTAGAGACAGACTGGGGTAATATAAATGAGAATGATAAGGAATCTGATTGTCATGTTTTGAGTGGATGTATACCAATACATTGATGATGCCGAGTAATCTATTACGCAACCCTTTAGTAGAGGAGTAATAGATGGAACTTCAGACAAAAGCTCTGAGCGGGAGCCATTTAGCAGGAGCACAGGCTTGTAATTACACTGTAGTGATGCATTTTGCCTTGTAGCCCCTCCGCCCGTCTGTCAGGTCTCCATGGAAACGCCCTGGGAAGCAATGAGGTCAGGTTTTGCGATGGAGGAGTAGGTGAGGAACGCTGTGTTCTGCAGATGGAGAGAAGGCTTGTGTGTGATTGTGTGAGTCGGGGTGTTGATATGGGACAGCAGGTGAGCAAACAGGCAGCGGTTGCTGTCCAGTTGCTGGGGATGACTGTGAGTGGCTGGGGAGGGTCATGGAGCTCTGCTGGGTTTTTACATTTAGCCGTCTTCCTGCCTCCCACTAAAATGATGGGTTCTTAGCCTGGAGCTCTTAGGGAGTTGAGCAGAAGCCTGGCTGGTAGCAGCAGGGAGCCACTGTCCCTCGTAAGAGGAACATAAGAGAAGAACACACCTTTAGCTCTTAGTGACGTGTCCACACTCAGTGTCCAACTGGCGTCATGGTAATAATAACATGCGAATGGAATCATTATGCTAATGAGACTGTGCTAATGAAGCTGCAGTATCTGTGCCAGTGTGTCTGGGATGTCCATGCGGCCTGCAGGTGTTTTGACTGTGCTGGCAGAGCCTCCGCCGACAATGCACAGCATTTGCGCTGCCGTCTTACTGCATATTGGCGTCTCTGTGTGTTCTCCGCATGCAGAGGCTCACCTCGCTACTTGTGGGCTGGTCCTTGGGGACGCCCCCCCCCCCAAAACAGTCCATGTTCCTGCAAAAAATGTCTGTCAGGGACCTGGGAGGGAGCAAAAACATGGAGTCTCAGGGGGTTCCCGAGGACCTTGTGGCCTATGCAGATCTTTTTTTGTGTTCTCCGTTGTCCGTTGCTCCATAACTGTGACTGTGTGAACAGCTTGAATTCTTACTGCTGTGTGAAGACCATTGAGCTCTTTTTTTCTTTTTACACAAGACCACATAATCTGGGTTCAAGTCTCTGACAAGGCTCCATGTGTGTGGAGTTTGCATGTTGACCCTGTGTCATCGTGGGGTTTCCTCCAGATACTCCAGTTTCCCCCCACAGTCCAAAAACATGCTGAGGCTGATTGTTACCAAATTGCCCATAGGTGTGCTTGGGTGAGTAAATGGAGTGTGAGTGTGCCCTGTGAGTGTGCCCTCTGATGGGTTGGTGCCCAATCTTGGGTTGTTGCTTTGTGGCAGTAGCCTCTGGGATAGGCTCCGGATCCCCTGCTACCCTGAATAGGACAAGCGGTTTCAAAAAATGGATGGATGGATGGATGGATGAACAAGACCACTTTCCAAGATCAAAATCTTACAGGTATTTTTTTATTTACAAAAATAAGGGTGATCGTATTTCTTAACATTACGACAGCAATTTTGTTTAGAGTGTTTAAAGTTAACAACCTCCTCTTCACTACTATGACGGTCATGTTTCATACCATTGCCCAGTACCTCACCGTCTTGTGCTGCGATGGGGTTACTATGGGCCAAAGGCTGGCTTTACCTGCCCTGACATGCATATTTTGCACTTGGTGTCTCAAGTTCTACTGCCTCTAGCCACCTGGGACAGCTTCTATTTGGTCTCTTTAATGTTGCCTTGTGGAGTTTAATTTGTTGTATGAAATGTTATTACCTGTATAATTAGTCACCGATTCATAGGTTCTATCACTATCATTTTAAAAATGGAGGTCTCATTAACCTCTGTAAATTAGTTTTAGATCTCAATTAAAATAAACTGAATAGAACATATACATTTGTTGAGCTCTTTCAGCACGCTTGGGACTACGATGGCCAAAGAGTTTCGAATGAACACGGCTAACAATATTCGTTGTCAACGAGCAGATTTTTTTCTACGTCAGGAAGTGTGCTCGTATCGTGCCTACTGTCCCTAAGGTTTTCCAGTCTGAAGTTGACTCAGGGATCCTGCAGCAGAAGCTTGTTTTTGCAGCCAGCCCAATTTCATCCCTTCAAGGCGTCAGCAGTGTTCACAGAGTGGAGCTCATTAAACAAAAATCAACTGAATATTTTCTGTACCTCGGGAACAGAGACAATCAATCCTGCGGCATAAATTCACCCTGCTGGGCTTTCGGTAAAATCATCCGTACAGGCTTTCTTCAACTGAACGGGAAGCATTTACGGGTGGGGAAGAAGACCTACACTGTTGGGGTGGGGGGGGGGGGGGGGGTAGTGGGTCAGCCTCAGCTTCCAACTTCCTGTTTCCTCATTCTCCCACAACTCTACTTATGTTGTGGAGGAGAGCCGTGAAAAAAAGAATACTATTAGCCCCTCCTACTCCTTCAGGTCCCACCCTCAAAACAAAGAGTTACTTCCAACTCCTTTCCTCACCAGTGGAAATGGCCAATGCAGCAGTGTGTTCTTCCACTCCCCAAGGAATCTAGAGCATCAGTAGTACCTGGACCTCCTGTGAGATACAGCAGCAATCCTGGAGTGCCTTGATTCTGATAAAACTTCCTGAAAATATCTACTGGATTTATGACAGGTTGCATATGACTTGGATGAAACTTGAATGAGTCAAAACAAGTGATATAATCAACAACCATAATCTGAGTACGTTTTGGATGCATCATATAAATATTGTAGTAGAGGATAAGGAATAATTGATTTCAATGCTTTTTATGGAGTAATTAACACTATATTCCACAACTTAAGCTAGTATCTCAGCTAGTATTCACATTTATATAAGCATACTTGAAAATGCACTTGGAACATTGTTGGTAATATTTGCTGTTTTGCAAGGGAAAGTAATTTCATAAGATAAGATTGACCTAATTAAATTTTCAGTTGATTAGGCTATTTATTCAGGCATTGCTTCCCTTCGAGTTTCTGGATCTCTGCAATCTCACATCACCACAGTCATCGCCGCCTCCTTCCAAGTCATCTGTCTAATTATGTCCCAAGATGTCATTCACTAGAGCTGTCAGAACGAGGCTAGGAGGAGATAACGTTACCTTTGTGTGGCGTTGCGGCAGCCCCTGGGATCCGCTGCGTTGGGCAGGGAAGAAGCCGGCTTCTGGATCCACTAGGGAGCCAGTCATCGAACCTGAAAAAAGACAAATGTGCCAAAGGGAGAACCTCATGAAGAATGACCAGGCCTCTCATTGACCTGATGATGAGCCTGGCAGCTGAATCAGGGAAGCACAGATCAGAAGGATGCTCTTGTTCAATATGGAGTAGTACAAGATCTGTACATACCAGATGCAAGTCTGAGATGCGATGGACCATAACGTTTCACGCCATCCTGTGCATGAACTACTGCCTGAGATACACAGAAACACTCCTGACAAGCAGTAGGCCTGAATGGGTAGCGGACGTCTATATACTAGCATTGGAGCTGTGTGTTTAACGCGTGTTCTAGGTTCCTGACCAGTTCTTGGAGTAGGTTCCTGGAGGTGGCTCAGGAGACATTGCCAGCTGAATTATGTCCAGCATTCTAATGCTATCAGTTACTAATAAATAGTAAATAAAACCAAAATAGATATAATTTGCCTGTTAGTAATATTTATTGTTTATAGAGTGAAGGATTGGGTAGGCTTTTAATAGCAATGTGGATTTTCGAAAATGTTACTGAATTTGTTTTTCTGATTGATTTACAGCTATGGATAGTACAGTATTTGGAGTTGAATAGATTCCATAATAGATGAGTTTTGGCAGGATTAATGTACTCACCCAGCTGCAGTTGGCCACCATTAGTCTGTGAAGGAGTCCTTCGTGAAAGGACTTGCAGTTCACAGTTGTGCAATCACACATTCATTTCAGTGTGACGTCTAGGAGGCTTGGTCTTCATCTGACATCACGGCATCGGTGATGTCACAGATCACCCTGATGGCCGAATGTCCGCTTCGCTTGTCGATGTCGACAGGCCGCAAATGCATGATTGTGTCCCCGTTCTTGTGTGTCACGGTTGAGTGTCAGACGTCTCCTGTCACATACTCTGTCTGATGTTGCTACAGTCTGTGCACTCTGAAAATGAATGCCATGTCGTGTTTGCAGATGCACTAGAGCACGGCTGGAAGGCACCGCCCCTCCTCCTCCACCCCCCCACCCCCCACACACAACACAGCCAGCCCCACCCACTAGCGGCAGAGGGCAAGGAGGGAACGGTGGTTGGAGGATGCAGCCTCACACTGAGTTTTCTCCTTTCCACAGCGACTCCCACCCGCCGAGCTCTGCCCCGGGGGAGGCAGGGCAGCACGAGGGCAAGGGGGAGGCGCAGGATGGCACGGGTACCACGCCCGGCGGAGCGGAGGAGGAGGAGGGCACGGGGGCCCGGGGGGGCGCGGGGCAGAAAGCCAGCCTGCACCACACCGCCTCTCCCATGAGAGTGCAGCGGAGCAAAGGGGCCGGCGCCTGCTCACACTCCTCCGCTTCTGACTACGAGCTCTCGCTCGACCTCAAAAACAAGCAGGTAGGGGCACCGGTGGAGGCGCACGCAGTCCTGCTCTCACCCGAGCGGCGCCTGGCGCCCTTGTGGTTCTGATCAGACATGGTCAGACATGAGCGATGCTGGTCCTCATCCCCAGACGACCCTGAGAGAGGCCTGCAGAGGTCCTGAGCTCCAGGCCCGATGAGCCTGGGCATCGATCATGGTTTCTGGCCGCTGCTTCCCTGTGGTCCATTTTTCGACGTTCTCAGAAACCCGTTCTCGCACGCCAATCTGTCAGTACCCTCGAAAACCGGTAGCGTCTCATAGTAAATTTCCAAGTGTCTCCCTCATGCTTAGTAGCTTTGAGTTGTGTACTACTTTTAGGTTGGCTCCACGCTTTGGGGACTCAGGGAGAGGCGCACTTTGATTTGAAGACGAGATCAAGCTGTTTGTCATCCTCTCCTTTTTTATAGAACCTTACACACAATGCTTAGAGGCTTAGAAATCACCTCAAATATGCTGCTTTGCTCAGCTGGCTCAAATAAGGCTGAAAGATGGTTCATTGCCATGGCAACAGCAACTGCTAATATCACCATTCCATTATTTCACCTCAGTAGTTTTGACTTTGCTGTCTCACACTGGGTATTCGTGCTTAGCTCAGGCTGAGGATTCCTTCGTTTGTGTATTTTAATTTCACAGTTTTGAAAGCCAGAATTAACCTGAGGGCCTTCTGCTGTGGGTGTCAAAGCTCAAGATAATTCAGTATGTCACGACCTTTGCATTTCAGGTCTAAGAATGTGGTCTTGTGCCTTGAAACTGAGTATGATGTTTTTGTTGCGTTTCTCATTGCAGCTCCTGTCCTGTTTTTGAATGGGAAATTATTTTCTGAGTGTATGAAGTGTAAAAACTATGACCTATGCACCTGATTAAGAGAGATATTTTGGTGGATTTTTTTTTTCGGATGTGGTTGGAAAACGTGGCAAATTGTAACAGACACTGCTGCCTGGTTAATGATTGTTCAACTGTTCAAAAGTGAAAAATATGCGGGAATCAGACCGAGACAGATGACCTTTAATGATCAGTAACTATATAGTGTAAACACTGTCTAGACAGTGGATTTACTGTCAAAAAGTCTTACTGCTCCTCATCTGATCCCATCCCGTGCATCCATGTGTATCTGAGGTTAGGGCGAATGCCTTCAAAAGACCTCATATGAGGTTCCTCACTACCTACGAGGTGGCATGCACTTTCTATATGCATGAGGGATACATATTCACTGACCAGGCACCCTAACCATTTTACTGCTGGGCCTATAACCTGACTGATATGATGTAGAGTAGAATCAACAGCTTGCTTACAAATGTCCAGTAGGCTGAGTGGATTGATTAAATGGGTTTGGTCTGAGTCTCAGTAAGTTGAAGCTGAGAGGAGAAATGGAATATGGGTTTTTCCTATCTGGTATGACATTGATCGTACTGCTTTTGTGCTTTGTTTCAAGGAGATATTTTATCATTTTCTGTAACAAATTTATAGAGTGGACGACTCATTTTATGACAACCTTGATACCGGTGCATGATGGGAATCTGTTATTTTTCAGAATTACCCAAGGAGTAGGAAAACAGAAACATATTTTTTACTTGTACGGTTTTTAACCATGTGAACTTCCATCAAAGATCCATCGAATCGACTTTCTGTCTGGTATGACATAGACATCTGTTGAAACGAGTAAATGCTTGTCTGACTTACTGGCTTTGTCATGAACTGAATTTGCTGCTAGAGGTTTTGTCGAAGTACAAATGCATAGTGCTGTAGTGCTTTGGCTAGGAGGCAATCCATGGTGAGACTCAAACCTTGGTACTCTGCACCAAAGGCAACAATAGGCTTTTTATCAAGACTCATAGGTTTTCTGCAGTGCTTTTGCTGCATCACATACAGTATGCAGCTCTACAGTTGTTTGATAGGTATACAGTTGACCCTTCTCAGTTGCAAATTTCCCCATTATAGTTTTGATATATTGTGGGGCCGGCGTAAGAAATGAAACGGGAGTGTTTTGGGAGTCTTGCAAAAGTCGCAGAAGACACAAAAACTTTATTAAATCTTAAATACATAAAATATATGTACAGTGCTGGTTTGGAGAACGCCAAGCATGTTTACGGCACCCTCTCACATGATATCTCGCAGTGGTCTTGCAGTGATCTTTGTGTTTCTTGCTTCTCGTATCTTTTTGTGCTATTTTAGCGCCCTAAACTGTACTAAAATCTGAAACACTTCACTTCATTTGCCAAGGGGACCAAAACATTTTACATGGTTTTTCAAGGTGGTGGGGGGCTGCACCCCTAACCCCTGCGATGTGGAAGGGTCAGCTGTAGTGTCATTCACATTTAGTTCCAATGTAATTTTTCTCTAAGATTCAGATACACTGGGCATTTGTAATCCAAAATGAATCAACAGTATTTATTCAGTTTTCCTAGTGAGAATTAATTCATTGATTCCTTTTTGTGGGGAAAACTGAATTACTGTGGGAGTCCAATGAATGGTGACACAGGCTTTAATGTCCACATTTAACATGCGGGGAAAGTGATTGACGTGATGGGATACTTGCCAACACATTTCTGGCCATTTCTGCTCTGTGTTTCTGTGCTAGCTGGTAGCCAGTCAAAATCCAGCTGAAGTCATCGGGAGGCCATTTCTGTCTGCCAGGATTTCCATTCCTTTCTCTGTAATTGCTTTTTCAAGCACCACAGTCCCTGCTTAAACAGCATCACTTCAGAGTTTATTAATCAAATAGTATTTATCTCTGAGATGTTTTTTGCTAGATTTAAAGTACCATAATATAACCTAACCCTTTCTACACATACACGTGACCTGTGAAATGTGTGACATTAACCCACAATGCACTGCAAATTTCCACTTTTGTGAGTCATAAGCTAGTTGACTCCTTCACAGCTACAGGCTATGTGCTTCATATGTGTGCCTCGCTTGTATGCCTGCTAAATAAACAAATGTAATTGTATGGATTGAAATATCACGGCCTGTAGCAGGAGCGTAGAGATGCTGTATGGTAACAGCATTGATTCAGTCCACACTAACAATTACTAACAACAGAATTTTTTGCATCTACCTGTATAAACTTCCGGAAATGAGTGAGTTGCAGATTGCCAGAAAAGTGGACAAATTCAATGGCTCTGAGCACCTAAAAATGAACAGATCATATTCTTCCTTTCTCTGCGGATTCGAAATCTAGACTTGATGAGACAAACAGGTACTAAAATGCAAAGACTAACGAGGGGTAACAAGCAACAAGCGTGGCTCTTCAGGGCCACGTGAGGGAGGAGACAGGGAGGTCAGACGGACATGACAGGTAGGATGTAACGCCACTGATCAGCACTTTGCACCTTAATGGTGAGGACCTCCTCACTGGATACTGCTGTGAGATCTTTGAGCACTGCTCTCTAAACATTGGAGATTATGATTGTGGCTATTTTTCCTGGGTGATTGTTTTCATACCAGGGGAGTCACATGGAATATGATTCAGTGATAAAAAAAAATTCTGCATTTGGGAAAAGAAATTCTCCCATGGGTACTTAGAAATAAGAATAATGTATACGCCTTGCATGAATTTAATACATTGCACGTGTGTCTTTTGATTTCTCAGTCTTTAAGCTGTATAGTTCTGTACTATTATCTAGACCAGGGGTGCCCAACTACAGTCCTGGGGGGCCAGAACCCTGCACATTTTTGTGCTTCCCCTCATTTAACACACCTGATTCAACTCCTTGTGCTAATTACCACACAGCTCTTGAGCTGAATCATTTATGGTGGAACAGGGAAAGAACTAAGCTACACAGGGCTCCGGCCCTCCAGGACTGGAGTTGGGCACTCCTGATCTAGACCCTAGAAAAAGCTCCAGGCAAGAGTTCTGGTACATTTGTCAGTCCCTGTCCACCTTCTGTCTGCTAGGACCAGCAACGACAGTGACCCATCTGGCAAGTGTAGAGTGTTTACCCTCAAACACCCATCATGATTTATGGGTTTCTCGTTTTTCAGTCTCCTGATACTTTGATGTTTAATCAAGGTTATTTCCTAACGTCATTTGCATTACATTTAAATGTTGCTTTTTGTAACATGTTATGCAGCTGGATGTAATCCTGTGAAAGTTAAGGTGAAGATCCTGTACGTGGGTGCTACAGAAAGGTTACCAGGTAACCTTACCACTCATTGCCTCCCAGCTGTATATAAGTACAAATGGATCAGGGGACTGTACATTAAACCAATCAGTAAATCAACTGTCTCAGTCGAAAACAGACAAAAGTAAAGAGAAACAGTTGCTCTGGAACAAACTTGTCTTCAAAAGTTCTTGTTTTCTAACATTCAGATGTCTGCCATTCTCTCGTGGCTCCAGATGTTTTAGTATTTCATTTGAAGTCAGCTGAATTGAAACAAAAATTTTATTAAACACAATCTGTATGTTTGTTCTTGATCAGTCGTGCTTCAATTGTACATAAGCCATACCACAATTATCAGTTCATTGATTCTCCTTAATACATATGACATTTATACTCCCGATGGAATGACGACTTCACGCTCAACTGTTACTCATCGCTGGCTGTGGCCTGTTTGTTTTGTGTGTTGAGTGTGTTTCTATTGGTGCTCCAGGTCGAGCTGCACTTTAGGGGTAATCAGCAAACAGCCTTGGCTATTAATTGTCATGCTTGCGTAATGTACTGCCAGCACTTGTTTATTGTATCTTGGATTGATTGGCTCTGTGTGTTTTTTTTATTATGCAAGTATATCGGTATTTACATTCATATTTAATCTAATAGACCGCATTATAAATTAATCACACTTAGATGAGTTAAGGGTTTTCTCAAATACACTGGCAGGAATTAATAAATCATTTTAAGACTGAGATTATCCATAAATATATGATTATTTCTCAACCCTTCTTATTTGGAAACACTTGGCATTTATTTTTAAGTATATGGTAATTAGGATTGCCCTTGTGAATGTGAAATGAAAACCCCTGCTGTTACTGGGGAAGT